TACTGATGACTTGTTCTACTGATGATTTGTTCTACTGATGACTTGTTCTACTGATGATTTGTTCTACTGATGACTTGTTCTACTGATGACTTGTTCTACTGATGACTTGTTCTACTGATGACTTGTTCTACTGATGATTTGTTCTACTGATGACTTGTTCTACTGATGATTTGTTCTAGTGATGACTTGTTCTACTGATGGTTTGTTCTACTGATGACTTGTTCTACTGATGACTTGTTCTACTGATGACTTGTTCTACTGATGATTTGTTAACTGTTGTAACAAAAGTTTTAATGTGGATTAGATAGAAGATTCTGTTACAGGGCAGAAGTGGTGAGGCAAGGGTTGTATCTCTTGATATATCAAATGTTTTTGATAAGGTTTTTTTGTGCTGGACCATGGCCTACTTAAATACACGGCCTTCTAATCTGCTTAAATCGAAAAAAAATAGAAGGCCAGTTGAAATAACGTATATTCTATTATATGGACAAACTCTCTCAAAATATTTGAAATATTGCGCTATAAATGTTAAGTAAGTAAATCTGACACCGGATAAAAGTTTTTGCGTTAGATTAATGCCAAACTGTATTGTTATTTGTGACTACTTTTTAATTATTAATAATAATAATGGTTAATAAATGCTGTGTTGTTGGTTGTACCTCTAATTATAATGGTGGTGAAGTAGTCCCAGTTTTTGGTTTTCCAAAAGATGATGACTTAAGAAAGTTATGGGTTAGATTTGTAAACAGAAATTTCTGGACTGTCACTAAATCATCTGTGATCTGTTTAAAACATTTTGATGAAAATTTAATACACAAAGGAGCATCAGCAAAACGATTTTGTTTGTTGTATAATTTGAAGCCTGTTCCTACAATATATCCGGCTAGCATAGCAACGGCTTCACTTCCAGTTATGTCTGTACCAATAAAATCAACAACTAAAAGAATTTTTCAAGAAGATGAATATCAGAAATTTTTATCAAATGGTGTTATTGAAGATCTTAATTCTTTTACAGTTGCTGATTCACCAACAGGATATTCATTTTCCAAATTTGATGATTGTGTTGTGTTCCATAAAATTATTCAAAAAGAACTTCACATACCTCAAGTTGCTGAATGTATTCGTATTGACAAAAATCTTCACGTTAAACTTTTTTATAAAAATCTTCCAGTTTCTTTACCACCTTGGTTTAGAGTAACCCACCAATGTGTGTTAAAGAGAAGGAGTATGCTGGAAAACTTCAATTCACATTTTAGCATCGAAAAAGAGAAGCTGTCTTCTATTCTTGAAGAACTTAAAAGTCACTAAGTAAAAAAAAATCAAATTTATTTTTCAAATATGCTTCAATTTGCCTTGATGCTGCGTTACACATCATTGCAAACATATAATTTACTGCTGGAGGAATTCACACTTCCATCTATATCACTGTTAGGCAAGCTTAAAGCAGGTGAAATTGATTCTATGAAAGTTTTAAAGTTGTTACAAGAAAATGGGAGCTTATTAAAAGATCTTTTAATAATTTTTGATGAAATGTATTTGCAAAAATGTGCTGAATATTCTGGCGGAGATATAATTAGGATTAGTGAGGAAAATGAATGTTATAGAAGCATTGTTTCCTTCATGGTAGTTGGTTTAAAAGAAAATATCTTTTGTGTTGTCAAAGCAGTTCCAATTATAAAATTAAACAGTGATTGGTTGAAGACTGAAATTCTTAACCTGATTCAATCTTTAATAAAAAATAGTTTTAATGTTCGAGGTGTTGTTTGTGACAATCATGCTTCAAATGTTTCCTCTTTTACAAAGTTGCTTAATGCACATGGTAAAAAACCTGATGATTTGTTTATTAATGTACAATCGCAAAAAATTTACCTATTCTTTGACACAGTGCATCTGATTAAAAACATTCGAAACAACTTACCAAATAAAAAAAGGTTTATTTTTCCAGAATTTCATTTTTCAGGTTTTAAAGATGAAATTCATGTTCAACCAGGAGAAATATCATGGAAAATGTTTCATGATTTATTGGAAAAGGACAGCCTGTTGGATGCAAGTTTAAAAAAAGCACCAAAAATAAATAGCAAAGTTGTCCATCCTGGAAACTACAAGCAAAATGTCACTATTGCTTTATGTATTTTCCATGAAACTACAGCAGCAGCAATAAAATCATATTTTCCCGACCGTTTAGATAGCATCTTTCTTAACTCTTTTTAATAAATGGTGGATAATTACAAATTCAAAAAATCAGTTTTCTAACAACTGTCTTGGAAATGCTGCTATAATTAATGATAAAAAACCTGAGTTTTTTATCATTAAAAACAAAAAATTCCAAAAATTCCAAATTTTGAGAAATATACACTATCTCCTCAAACGTTATCAGCACTACAAAGAACTTTATTATGTCATGCTTTATTAATAGAAGATCTGTTAGAAGATAATTATAAATTTATATTGACTGCTCGTTTTCAAAGTGATCCGTTAGAAAGAAGATTTGGACAATACCGCCAAATGAGTGGTGGCAGGTTCCTTGTCAGTTTGAAAGATGTTATTTATAGTGAGAAGATAATTTAAATAAAAAGTTTAGTGAAGGAAGGAATTCAAATTTTCGAAAATGATATTAATGCTGTAGAAGATACACAACATGCTAAATCCTTGATGAATCAGATCAAAGAAAGAGATTTAGATTGTGTGACTTTATCAGATGATTCTCGTGAAGTTGCTAGTTATATTGCTGGTTTTATTGCCAAAAAACTGAATAAGAAGTTTAAAATATGTTGCAAATTGCTTTGTACTCAACATTGTCAACACGAGTTGAATGATTATAATTATTTAAATATATTGTCCAGAGGTGGGCTAACAACTCCATCATTACCCCTTTTAGAATATGTCTGTGATAGTTTTGCTATGCTAGGTCATGTATTTGATGTTATTTATCAGTCTCAAATGCAACACCGTAAAGCAGCAAAGTTAGTTCTTGGCAGTAGAAAAGGTTACCAACCATTTTTATGTTTAAATCACCAAAATTGTGGAAAAGAAATTATACACACTATTATTTCAAATATTTATTTTAATAACATCAGAAAGAGAGCCTGTGATTCCATTGTTGCAGATAACATTGTTGTCTTTAAACAAAAACAGAGAAAAAAATAAGAACATTTTTTTTCTCTCGCATTAATCAGTAAATTTAATCAGTTTGTTCAATTTTGTTTATACTTTTAAAGCTTACTTTTGAGAGTTTGTGTATTTTTATTTCTTGTACAGTCCTTGAATATCATAAAAATTCTATTGACAAATATAACCCATGTCTTTATAAAATCATTTAAGTAATATGTAATTATGAAGGTTAATAAATTTTGTGTTGTTTTCAATAAACACAGCATTTATTAAAAATGATTACTAATTTATCATGATTTATTATTAAAAAGAAGCCTCAATAAAGTATACAAAGTTTAGTGGTTTAGTATATTTCGATTAAGCCAACGCAAAAATTTTTATCCCGTGCCAGATTTACTTACTTAAAATTCATAACTCAATAATTAAAATATTTTTAGAAAGATTGTCCATCCGACAAAATATGCGTTATTTTAACTGGCCTTCTATTTTTTTCCGATTTAAGCAGAATAGAAGGCCGTGTATTTAAGTAGGCCATGGCTGGACTTCTTCATAGTTTTGTTTCATTTAGTGTACCTGAGAAAAAAAATTTCAATTATTGAGTAAGGTTGCTTTGCTTTATTGTGCTTGCTATTTCCTTATGCCCAATTCAACTTTTTAACTCTTAAAATCTCTTATTCGTCTCTGTATGGAATAATATATGGATTAATATTATTGTATTTGGGCTGGTTCTTCTAATGATTCTCTTTCTCTTTTAGCAAAGTCCAAAAATGTATTGTAAATTGTCCAAAATGCTACCAAAAAATATAAACCAGCTCTAGCTACCAAGCTTGAGCCTCTGTCCCATTGCTTAAGCAATCTATCGTCAGCTAAAACTCAATTTTCTGTGACTCGTCATTCAGTAAATTTGCGTTCTTTTTTTGTATCTTATATCAACTGCATATCTTTCTATATCTTTTCTCTTAATAGTCTGAATATTTTTATTTGTCTAGCTTTTTTCCTTGCACATATTAATGTTGCAAATATTCTCTGTTTTCTGGTAGCTCCCGATTTAAATAATGATTGCTAGCATTATTTGTTGGGTGTAAATACAAAAAAAAATAATTTTTAATTTATAAAAATTACAAAAACAAAAAAAAAATGAAACCTTCTTTTAGTTTACTAAGAAAAATTTAAAGTGATATCGATATTGATGCATCTAAATCTATAACAGATTTGTTGCAAATAACTTGAATTATATGGTTGCATGCTTCTATATTGGTAATAAATATATTAGCAATAAATAATATTAGTAATAAATATATTGGTGAAGATTCAGGTAATAGTCTTCATAAGTGTTGTTGTTTTTAAAAGTTTTATGAAGCTGAAGAATAGAAGTTGAAGATTAAAAGGTGAAGATTAGAAACTGGAGATTAGATGGTTATCTAACTAAAAAACTAAAATAAAGATTTTAATTCATGGTTCAAAAAGTGGTTTTGCAGAACAGTTTTTAAGCTTTTACTTTACTAAGAACGAAATCTTGAGTATCAAATATAGGTTTTGTATTATTATGAATATTTTTATAATAATTTACAAAAAAAAACCCTGCAGGTTCTGTCAGGAAAAGCAAAGTAAAAGAATTTTAAAATTTTAAAAAGAAAAGCTAAGTAGAAGAATTTAAGAAAGATAAACAATCTATAGTGCTAATAAAAAAATAATTTCTATAATTGTTTAATATCTAACAAAAAATACAAGCTTTTTATTTTCACTGGAGATTTATAAGTTTTTTTTGCAAAATGTAAGGTCATTTTCAAAAGTTGGTTTGTCAATAATTTTTTTTTTAAGATTTTTTTTATATTTTTCTAGGTAGGAAATTTATGAACATTGATTATTATATTGTCATTTTTTTTTAGATTTCTGAAAGAAAAAGCTACAAGTAGTATCGAGTCACTTTTTCCAGAATCTATCAATGTACAGGTATGAGTTATGTTTTATTTTAGGTAACAAATTGTTTTATAACTTGTTGATCTAAAAATATTTCTTTAAAAATGTTAACAGTTGAGATCTATTACAAATGCTCAAATAATTTTTTGTCTTTATTTAAAATCTTCTTTAAAGTCTTCTTTGTTAATGTGGTTGAAACTTGCTGTATTTTAATAATTTTTGTTGTTATAGGGTAATACAGGGTTTTCCAGTTCATTTTGACATGGTATTATTCAATTTTGACATTGTATCAGTACATTTAAATAATATTTCATTCAATTTTGACTGTTTTTCATTTAATTTTGACAGCACTAAGATTATTTTAAATAATATAGAAACAAAACAGTTAGATTCTTTCTAAACTTCTAAATCATTTAGATAATATAACTTTTTAGTTTGTATACAAAATAAAAATAAAACAAAAATTCATCATATATAAAATATTGTAATTGCAAATACTCGCCTAATAAAAATAAAAAAATACTAAAGTAAGTTTATTCTTCAATAATTGGTTCTCTTCTTGAACACAGAATCATATACCTAAGCACGTGCCCAAAATAATTTTTTACGGTTTATACTAGTAATATTCAATTTTTAAAAATTTTTAATTTATTTTCTCAATTCAATATTTTCAAGCAGTTCCTTTTCAGTTTTTGATGAACATCTTCTGATTAGGGATTGCAAAAATTCTGGAAGTTTTCAATCCCGGGATTTCGGGATCGAGAAATTTGTCCTTGAGAAATCATAGGATTGAATTAAAAAAAAACACAAACGCAATTGAATACTTTTTAAGTACTCATCAAAAATGATTAATTTAATGATAATATAACTGAAATATTTAATACATTAACCTCTAAAATTAAATTGAGTCATGTTTTAACTTATATTTGTATTAAAACTTATCTAAGACTTTTAAAAATTAATTAACTTAAGTATTATAAATTATAAAACAATACCTTAAAATGGTAACAGTATAAATAATAATAAAAATTAAAAAATAATATAAATAAGCATGACGTAAAAAAAACTTTCGTAAATCAGGCATTTTCATAAATAACACATTTGAAAATTAAAATGAATAGATATAAAAATGGAATTAAAATCGCGCATACTTTTGGAAGCAGAAAATTTAAAATTAAATTAATCAGTGATGTATCCAGAGTTTTTTTGGGCATACCGGTTTGTTTGTATTTGGAGGACCTTTTGCCGCTTATTTTTCTTTATGCCTTTTATTGGCTTAAAATAATTTTACTAATGTAAAGAATGAGATCCAATTTATTTCCTTACTGCTACTCCCGCGAGAAAAGCTTTATAACTACAACATTTAGTAAACAATAGATTTATATATTAATATATTTCTTATAAATAAACTAACAAGATTCACTTAAAGGATATTAGAAAGGATTGACATTTCATAAGTCAATTCGTCTCTCACCCAAGTCTCGATAAATGTCAGTCAGCTCTTCATATGTTTGGTTTGTTAAATTTTCTGGTCCAACCAAAGAAATTCACATAAGGCGATCAAGTGCTATTATACTAAGCTGATTTCTTTGTTTTGAATGTATTAAGTTTAGCATAGAAAACCGTCTTTCGACATATGCAGTGCTAGGTGGTATGAGTAGTGACAATTTAAATAACTTCATTATATCATAGTACTGCTCACACGCATAATCGGTACGGAAGAAAGTATAAATAGCATCACTTGTTATCGGGTGTTCGTGCTTATAAATATCGATGTTATTACTCTTTAATTTGCCTTCTTTTACTAAAACTTGAATTTTTAGGTTCCTTTTCGTTTCAAGGTTACATAAGATTTCTCTATAATCAGAGAGAAAATGATGGATATTGTCTTCATTATCTTGAATAGAATTAAACAATGGTGGTGCAATAATATTTTCGTCGTCGATGACAGCAGGTTTTGCATGGCCATAAAATCGTGAAAGTTTACTAATGTTAGCTGAAAATTTGTTGGGATCTTGATTTTCACCAGTTGCATTAAATGCATCAAATGCCAAAAATACATCGTCATTAATTCGCATTGCTGCATCAATTTCTGCTTTTAATCTCCTCATGAATGGCACTTTTATTTTCTTCCAAAACTCTTCAACAAATTATTTTTTTCTTAATCGACGTGTTACTCCTTGTCGCTCTTTAGATATATTGAGAAATTTATTTGAATGAGTGTTAAACAATGGACTTTTACCGCTGGCTATATCGTTAAGCTCATTTTTTAAAAGGTCTATTTTTAAGTTTATTTTTGTGTAGACTAGGTTTCCTGTTTGTAAAAACTTTGCAAATTTATTTATTGGTACTAAAACATCAGCCAGTAAAAGCAAAAATAGTATATTATCAGGAACAAGTAATTGATATGTTAGACCTTCCAGCTCCGCATCGTACTTCTCATTAACAATTGCATCAAGGCTGTTTATAACTTGTTCAAATCTTGAAACAAGTCGTACTGAAGAAGCGCCATGAGATAACCAGCGCGTTAGTAACTTCGCTAGTTTTAAACCGTCAGCATTTTGCGCTGCATCAAATATTGAGGCTTTTATGCTAGAATATTTCATGGCTTTCCAAACTCCCAAGATATTAGTATCAACGTTAACTAGGACATCAAATTCTTTCATTAAGTGTACACACACAAGAGCTAAACAATGACAACGACATTTAAAGTACATTGAGTGGGGAGAAATTTTTTTTAGCTTAGCTTGTAAACCATTATGCACCCCACTCATTGTGTTAGTTCCATCAAAGCCATGGCAGCGCAGTTGCTGGATATCTATCGATTTAGATTTTAAAACTAGTTGTATTTGTTCACATAAAGTTTGCGCATCCTTTCTTCCAATAACTTGGACTAAACCAAGAAATATTTCTTCAATAGTATGAGAATCAGAATCAACTTATCTAATAAAAACAGAAAAGACAGTCCTATCTGCCACGTCACTTGTCTCATCAGCAAGAACACTAAAGTCCTGGGCCAAAATAATTTTTGTGCAAACGTCATTGTTTAATTTATCACTTATTATTTTGATGAACTGATCAACACTAGTTGATGATGTGTATGTCGCTCGTTCGCTAGCAATTTTAAAGTGTGAATCTATCTCCTTATCGCCAAGATCTGGAATAAATTCAATGATATCCCTAAAGTTTTCCGGAACTGCCCAGTTTTTTTTAATTACAAAATAAACAGTTTTAAAACTTTTTTATGACGTTACGTCAGTTTTAAAACTTTTTTATGACGTTACGGTTGCGCTGTTTACCCGCAATTCTGTATAGCGAACTGCCATCAACCATCTGATTGTATACAGTTCCTTTGGTTGAAAGTATTTTTTTGACCTGTTGATGTTTTTCGGCAGCATCCTGGTGTCTCTTTGAATTTTGATGTGCAGTAAATGTCCTTTGTGGATGTTCAAAAAGCTTTGCGCCTTTAGTTCTCCACACTTCTCCAATATCCCCATATTCTTTACAAATACTACATAACCAACCTTGATCTTTTGCAGAATAAATAGCAAATGGAAATATTGTTTCCCATTTTTGTTGAGATTGGTGACACATCATGTACATACGTCCATCTAGTAAATGTTCGTTGATATTAGGAATAGCGCTTTCGTTTGATTCACACCTGATAATAATTTCGCTTTCGTTTGTTCTTATTTTAGGAATCAACTGCTGATCTACCACTTCTTGAACTTGTTTTGTATCTTTTGTAGTTTGCTTAACAGCAAATGCTTCAAAAATTGACTTTTGTCCAGAATTTGCATTGTTATTTTTACTGTGGAAAGATCTGTATGTGGACGAATTTTTGTTGTGGCTTCTACAAGATGTCTTTGGTCGATCCATATTACGTAAGTTAAACGTACTATACAAACTCTTGTAAACAAATTTTATTAATTAAAGTTTATAAAAACAAAATGCGTTATAACATTGCAAGGTCGTTAATTTATTCATAACACAGGCATAGGTCACTCATTCATTCAAAAGTTAATAACTTTTTTTCTTCTCTTATTTCAAAAGTTAATAACTTTTTTTATTCTTCTCTTAAATCAAGTTTTTTGGCGTTATTATTTTATTACGTTTAAAAGAAGTTTTATTTATTTTATAATTTAAACCAGTTTATTTACATTTTCACTGCAATTTTACTATTATTTAAAATGATTAAGTTTAAAGCTTATAGAGTTTAATCGAATTGTAAATTATAGTTATCATAATGTAAGCGGACGAGAAACTCATTCTAAGTATATTTTTTTCAAGTTAATTTTATTATGAAAGAAATTATAAAAATATAAAATGCGTTTCTTATTTTAATCCAATCAAGACGTACATTTTACATTTTAATCCAATAGTACTGTATCCATATTTCATCGGCGTGAATTTAAATCTGATTGACTTAAAATACATTAATAATCTGTTTTTAAAGTCGTTTGCAAATGTTGCATTTTCTAAACGACATAAAAACAATTTTGTAATTATGACAACAAGTTTTAATATTTTTTATGTGTTTGTTTACCAACTAGAGAAACCAACAACAACAAAAAAAAAAAAAAAAAGGTCCTCAGTATTTACCAACTATAAGTTTGGGCAAAAATTTGGGGGCCCATACCGGTATACCGGTATTAAAATTGGCCTGGATACGTCGCTGTTAATGTATACCTTCTATTAAACACTTGCTCTTTTTACCAGCAAGGGCTTAAATTTTTTTTATTTTTATAATATATTAGTTTTAATATTATAATATAAATTACATTTTCAGAAGATTATTTTACAATAATAAAAGAGAAATAATAAAACACTGAAATAAATATTAAAAAATAGAAGTCTTTACAGAGAAATAATAATGGACAAAAATTTACATAATGAACCAATATTTTTATTACAAAATAACTCGGTAAATAACCAATCAAAATAACTAACTGTCAAAATAATAATAATAATAAACAATAAAATTAAATAGATAAGTTTATAGCATATTGTGAAGTTTGTTTATTAAATGAGGG